CGCCTCAGCAGCAGCGGTCATCAAGTCGCCCTGAGGGGAAACAAGGTGCCCAAAAAAACAAAATATGACAGGAAAGATGTAAACTCCTCCTCTGCTTTGCTGTCTGCATCCTAACGGATCGTTTCTACTTGATTTTAAAGCTCAACGAGTCTTGCCAATGAAATTTAATTCAATTAGTTTGTAAAATCCTATAAAGTCAAGAGATCACACACTTGTTATTCTTATTTTTCTTGTGACTTCTCTTCCACCTTAAAAGGCAACTAGAAAACAAGCAATGATGTGGACCAGGGATTCCCAAAGTGTGGTGCGCGCACCCCCGGGGGTGCGCGAGCTGCCACTAGGGGGTGCGCGAGATGAAAAGTGTAATGGCTGCGGAGCTCAGAGAAGTCTGTCAGGTGTCACCATTAAGCCGGGCGTACACTGTGCGACTTTTTCACTTTTTTGAGCCGATTTTCCAGTCGTGCGAGAAGCCACGACATCGGGGTGAGTTTTGTGCCGAGCGGTCGTGTAGTGTACAGGGGGTTACGAGAGGCGATTAACACCACGTGACCAGCCGCCGATCAGCAGTCGTGAGGTCGCACGGACTTCTGGCGTGTTTAATATTTCGCTCGTCCCTCGTGAGGGTATCGCACTGTTGAAGCGGCGCTGCGAGCAGCTACGATCCAAAAAGTATCAGAACCGCTCACGGCGCATGCGCGCGCGATCCTGCATCAACGCCGGCCGGTCGCTCGCTATTTCCCTAATAACACACGCTGTTCGTTTTTGTTTCTACACGTTTTTTTTACTCACAAAGATTGTCAAGAAAGCGTGTTTGTCGTGTTCATGTCAAATTAAACTGATCATAAAACACAGATTCACTTTCTTTATTTCGTTTTCCTCATCCAACCCCCATAAATCCCTGTGTGTCCTCCTGCAGCACTCCCGAAGGACAACAGGCAAGACAAAAAAGTCTGACGTGTTGAGTAAAAACTGCTATTTTTAGCACATTTTTAGGGCCGACGTGTTGCTACCAGACGTACAGTGTGAGCAGTCAGGTCGCATGCGAGAACTGGGTCGTACAGTGTGAGCACACGACTCGTGAGATCTGCTCTGCGAGGAAGTCGTACAGTTTGAGCTGAAGCTGAACACTGCGAGTGAAAAAGTCGCACAGTGTACGCCCGGCTTTAGCGTTGCCAGAAAACTCATTTGTGGGTGGGCCAAAGAAAAAGTAAGTGGGCACAATAAATGTAATTGAAAACAAGTATATTTTACTTGTGTGTGTGTGTGTGAGTGTCCTCCACATGTGCCCTAACTTCATAATAACAATGCGCCGAGCTTCAGCACTCTGGCCTGCGCACGCCGATATGTTCCGTATTTGATCATTTTTAACGGTGTTGGAGAAATCTGAAGGTGGTGAGTCATTCTGGCAGATTGTAATTAACACCCTGTCTCATGCAGGTGTTCTGACATTGTAAACCTCACACGCGCTGAAGATCTGAAGTTTAGAGTGCGTCTGTCAGAGGTCAGACGCGGTCCAGCGGAACCACGGCTCACGTGTGCACAAGTGAGCACATCTGGGCTGGGCAGAAGTAATTTTACAGCATTGGTTTAAATAGCGCCATTAACGAGACATAGTGACTTAAACGCTGCAAGTTGTGAAGCGCGTTCCATCCGCGAGCCGCATCACCAAGCGGAAAGTGAATGCGTCAAGCATAAACCAAGCTTCGTGGAGCTGTGCCGCGCGCACACACACACACATTCAATAAGTGCACGCTGCGCAAACTGCGGCGCGCCAGACTGATACCGTCAGACTGAAGGCAGAAATGAGCTCTGCCTCCTCTGTGATAAAAATTTTTAAGAGGTTTTATAACAACATTTTTCATTCCAGGTCAAATTAAGATATTAGCTTCTATTTTGGGATGACGTATTAAAGTCGGGTCCGCTCCAGCCAGTGACTCCGAACCTGCAGCATGTTATTCCTGTCCGCGTGGCAGCGGATCGCAGATTCAGCCACACCATAAAACAGCAATAAGTCGGTCTGAGGCAAAAGTGAACCTCATGGCTATAGCTTTTTCCTTTTCCCCTATAGACATTTGAGTACGCACAAGTAGGTGGCCAGTTAAGGTTTACGCAGAGCAGAAGGAAGGAGAGCGCTCTGGCCGCACAGGTTAAACGTTCCTACTTTAAGAAAACCGTTAAATTGCATTGTTTATGTGCTACCTGGGCTCTCTAAATATTTATTTAAAATTAAATCAAAGGAAATTGTAATGTATCGAATGTTTATTAATTACTATTTAAAAAATGAAAGTGATGGGGAAAAAGGTCGATCATATTTTTTAACCCTATATATATATATAGCCATGCCGTGATGTGTGTGTGTGTGTGTGTGGGTGTGTGTGTGTGGGGGGGGGGGGGGGGCGTCGACATGGTCGGCACATAGAAGGGGGTGCGCGGCTAAATAAGTTTGGGAACCACTGATGTGGACTATTCATAATTTAAACATCAAAATCTTTTAAAAGTCCTTTGTAGCGACAGGAATGATGAAAGGTCACACTTTCCGAGCTGGGTCGAGCTGTAAAGGTTGGTTTATGCTTGACGCGGCCGCGAGGTTCGCACGGCTCCGCGCGGAAAAGTTGCGTCATTTTAACAACCACGGAATGCCGGAATGTCTGCTAAACACCATCTTTATCTGCTGCTGTTCCGTCCCAAGATGAAGGACACTTCAAGATTTTAAAATAATAATTTTAAGATAATAATTTTAATAAACTGTTTTTACTGTTTATTACAATCATATAATAATCGTCATAAATAATCATCATGGTTCAGTATAAATGTATTTAATTACTGAAATGACTTATTATTCTTTGGGTTAACAATAATTATTATTTATGATAATCAGTAATGTGTGATCAGTAACCAGAAGGTCATTTGCACGTGTACACCTCATGCAGGGGGTTGATCCAGGGTAAAGTTAAACTCCTCACATGTCTTTACTCCATAACATCAAGCTTTCTGGCACCGAGAGGGCGTGTTCTGAGGTTTTGTTAAAACCAAATCTCCGCAGCTGAAGTTCAGTTCTTGAACCAAGCAGAAACTCCCTGTGGTGATGAGAGTTATCCCAGAGGATGAGGGTCGGTCGCCTGACTCCTCACTTAGCATTCTGTCACGCCGATAGAATTGCTCCGAATAAACGCACCTGTAACCAGCTGACGCAAAACTCCTTCAGAGTTAAGCCAGACGCAAGCTCAACACTGTGTACCCTGCGACAACTTTGGACAAGCGAGTCGGTTTCACTCGGGTCTTCTCTACCTGACCGAGTACCCTGAGGCTGACAACATCCTCCTTTGACCTCCGGATCCACACAGAGGGTCGTCTAACTCGGTGAGGTAGAACACAGATTGTGTCCGATGCTGTTCTCTCTAAGAAACAATTCAGTTAGCTGCAAAACAACGTTTCCACCCAGAACGCTTTCTCTCTCTGAAAGAAATCTTCTGAGATATCATTCACGCATCCAAACCTCGCATCTCATTTTAGCTTTCCATCCAGACACAGGTTTGCTTTTAATAACAAGTTTAATATCAAGCTGTTACAAATGGTCAGTTATAAATTGTCATTTTTAAAATTGTTAGTAATAAATTCTTAACTTTCTAAACCTGACTCTTGTTTGAAATGAAACACAGAATGATGTATATATATTTGGTTATTGAATAAGCAAAGATTCCTTTAAGCTTCTGATTCAATAAATAAACTTTTGCTAAAATTTAATTATCTTAAATTAAAAATTAGTCTTTGGATTAAATATAGACCAAGCTCGTTGGCGTATGAACTTCTATCGAATATATAAATATCCTGGATACTTTTATATGATAGAAGCTTCATTTGCTAACTCGTTTGATCTTCTTCAGAATCTAACAAAGCTGATAGCGAACAGTGTTAAATCCTAGTATGTAGATGTGCCCACGCTACACCTTTCATAGGTTAAAATGCTGCATTCCCAATAATATCCCTTCCAAGCTGAACAGAATAAAACATTATTGTGGAAGAGGATAATTAGCATTAAAAGTATATTTTGACCATTTGTAAGATTATAAAATTATTTTGATCAAATTACTTTGCTATAGTGACTTATTAGCTAATTGGCTAAATGTAGCGCTCTGGTGTGTTCATCAGCCAAATCCACCTCAGTTCTCCTGCTGGAAAACTAAAATTATATGTAAAACATCTGGATGAACAGCTGTGAAACTCAAAAGATTGGAGACATTTCAAGGCGACAGACTTGGCCAACTCCAACTGGCCGTTAGCCCGTCAACCCAGAAGCAGTCTCTGAAGTTTGACGTCCTCTAAGGAACAGCAGAGTATTTTGCTTTCTTTTGTGGTTTTGTCCAGGATTTGTTTTGATATCTTGTCCTTCATTCTGCCTCCACGGCTGTCTCCCCTCTGGACTCTTTAACTGGTGACAAATTTTTTAAATAAAATTTTTTATTTAACCGGCATTTAAAGAAATCTGAAAAACTGGAATTCTGGAATGATGAAGACGGTCATTCTCTTGCTTTTAGTATTTTTTTCTGGTCTTAATTAAAGATTAAAAACAGAAATGTAACGTCCTACATCCTAAAACTTCTCTGACGCGCCATGTTTTCTGAGGAGTCTCCATAGGTGCACCTTGAGGTCAAAGGTCAACAGTAAGAGATTTTAAGAAACCCCAAAGCTTGTTTTCAGACCTTCACACCAGGTTAGTCTGAGAATTTGCATCATTTCTAAAAGGGAACCGTCTGGTTCTGCAGCTACAACAGCTGACCACTGGGGGGCGCTGCCACCCTAAACCAACACTGATCATGAACAGGAAGAAGAAAACCCAGCTCATCGATTGGTCACGTTTGAGAACCATTTAGGACAATTAGAGGATGACTAATTGTTTTCCCATAATGCACAGCAGCACATTTGGAGAAAACCAATCAGCTGATCCCAGCTGATGGCACAGTGGTGGGGTGTTGATGGTTAGCTTTGATGTACAGCGTTACCTGGCATGCTGACCCAAGTTGCTTGTGGCATCTGAAGAGGAACTGGAGGGGACACCATCTGAGGAGGACAGATTTGATGGAGCTGCGGCGGCTGGAGTGGTGGAGGTGCAGGTGGGTATCCTGCTGAGTGACAGCTGAGCGGCTCCATCTCCACGCTCTGCAGACACTGCTCTCTGAGCCGCTGCTCGTGGCGTCGCTTCAGCCGGCGCTGTAGGACGCTGCAGAAACAGCAGAGCATGACGATGAGGGCCCAGACCAACCAGAAGCCGGCGAAACAGGCCAGGAAGGTGTAGGTGCCCTGTGACATCACCATGGCGGTGATGGGAGGGGCAGCGGGTTCCTCCAGAGGAACAGGTGAATCTCCTCAGACCAGCTGGAGGAGAGGAATGACTTTTTGTGTTTTTATTATTTTGTGGGCGGAAAAACAAAAACTCAAAAAATTCTGGTTAAGTTTCAAGATCCATCAGGAAGATCCTTAAAATGAATTCTAGATGCAGCTCCTTCAGTTATTTGTTCAAAAAGTTCAAAACGATCTCTGATGAACCAGAACATGTTTCAAATATATAGCTGAAGAAGTTCTTGGGCTTAAAAAGGGTCAGATTAACGTTAAAAAGTCAACAATCTTATGAAAAGTTTCATCAAATAGGATTAATTGTAAATAAAAAGGTACAAAATGTGTTCATTTGAATTTAAGAGAAAAAAATCTGCCTTTCACTGCAACAGATGCACAAAACTCAATAAAACACTTAAATGTTTGATGTTTTTAACAGAACTAATCTGCTGTATGGATGAGAAGTCTGTCTAAGACACAGCTTTTCCGGTATTCCTAGGTGTGGAATCCACCTGACGCCTCCTCAGTCAGCTCGCCGAGTCGACATCATCATCACAGAAAAAAGAAGCTGAATGAAGAACCGTCCAATCAGAAGCTCCTAATTCCACGAATCTGATGTTTTCGTCCATGTGAACAGCAGCTCCCTCCAGGGAGCCGGGGGTCCGTCTACCCGTCGGGACACTGAATTCCTCCTCCTCTGATCCCAGTGGGACTCCTCCAGTCCACGCTGGTCTGCAGAAACACAAGAACCAGATCAGACAACAGCTCCACACTTCACAGATAAAATATGAGATTAGATCTCCAATTTGGGACGAAACATTTCATCTGAAGTGAGTGACGATGTTGATTTATTTAAACACCTTCATCTCAAACCGCTGCTGCAGGTTTTTGGATTTTGCAGAGATTTTTTGTTCCTTTTTGAAATTTGAACTCTGAACTTCCTGCAGGGTTTGGTGTCACCAATCTCAAACAGACAGAGGCTAATCAGGCTGTAGACCTCCATCTGTCCAGATCTGTGCAGAAGTCGTGAACATTTGTGCTGATATTTTAGTCGTGTTGGCTGTTAACCACTCTGTCCGCTTCTGAAGAAATAAAAATAAGTTTTCGTTTGCGGAAAAGTTTCTGTTTTAATTCCGACCCTTAACCAAATGCATTGAATCCTCTGCAAACACCTGTGGCGACTCAGTTTCAAACTAAATATTAGACTAACGTAAATTTAGATTACTGTAAAACCCAAAGGGGTGAAGAGAGCCCCTTTATAAGGTCTAAGAGTCTGTTTGGTTAGGGTTAGGGTCAAACCTAACCCAAACCCAAACCCTGGACAGGAGCAGCCGCACCCGGAACGACAACAACAATGGCTGCTCCTTCCAGCAGCAGAAGAGATTCAGGAGCTACACGCAGGTCAGCAACTCACAAGCTGAAAGTAGCCAGAGTAGGTGTTGTTTAATTTCTAAAAACCGTTAATGACAAAAACATTAAATGATAGAAATGTGTTTATACAAATAATGTCTATATTTAGCTGTTAGTGTAAGGCTATGATTGCACAGCTAAGTGAGCGATAAACTGACCGTTTGTCGTTACATAACAAATAGTTTCTCCATAATCACGGTGAACAGAAAAATAACGGAAGTTATGGTGTAACTATGGTTCTGTGAGTTCCTGGATGACTACCAGTGGCAGTAAACAGAGTGGATGTATCTCCTCGCGCTCTCCGCAGGTCGAGTACTAATGTAAACAAAGTCATGCACGTGACACGTAGCGCACCTGGTCGCGAGTCTATGAATTACGCGCCGATAGCTACGTTCGGGTCTCCTGGGATCTTCTCGCCCGAGAAGTTCTGAGTGACCCCTGTGACTGGCAGTCATCCAGGAACTCACAGAACCATAGTTACACCGTAACTTCTGTTCTGTTCCGTTCACTCCTGACTGCCAGTGGCAGTAAACAGAGTGGATGACTTATGCCAGCAGTGTCACGAGGAACATAAAACTCACCTTCACTCAGGAGGTAGCCGCCAGAGGCAGCACCGCCAAAGCGAGCGTGGACCCGTGGCCAACGTTGAGGCGGTAGAAGCATGCAAACGTGCACGGAGTTGCCCAGGACGCCGCAGCACAGACGTCCGCCAGTGGCACACCTCTCATAGCCGCCCAGGATGTAGCAACACTCCTGGTGGAATGGCACACGATCCCAGGGGGAGCCACTGCACCCACTGCCTCATAAGCCATTGCAATGGCATCCACGACCCAATGCGACAGCCTCTGCTTCGAAAGAGCCCGACCCCTGTTCACTCCTCCGTGACAGACAAACAGCTGGTTCGACTGCCGGACAGTGTTTGTGGCCACAATATAGAGCCGCAGTGCCCGGACCGGGCACAGCAAATTCGCCCGCCGTTGTTTCTCCGAATAAAATGGGGGAGGGAAATACGCCCCCAGCTCGATTGCGGCATTCACGTAGCCAGAGGGCAGAACTTTGGGAAGAAAGGCAACGTTGGACCACAGCGTCACCCTCGACCCATCTGCCTTCCACCGCAGGCAGGCGGGGCTGATGTCCAGTGCGTGCAGCTCACTGACCCATTTAGCCGACGTCACTGCCAAGAGAAAGGCGGTTTTCACAGACACCACTGCCAACGGGGCAGTAGTCATCGGATCAAATGGTGGCCCACACAGGTCCTGCAGGACCAGGGGAAGGTCCCAAGCAGGTGCCGGCCTGCACAAGGCAGGACGCAACCTTCTCACGCCCCGCAGAAACTGGGTCACCAAACAGTGAGCCCCAATGCTCCTGCCTCCACCAAGAGGTGGTTGGCCGAAATAGCCGCCAGGTGTACCTTAAGGGTTGAGGCAGCCCGGCCCTTGTCAAACAGGTGCCGGAGGTACCGCAGAACCTCATGCAGGGAACAAGAACCAGGGTCCACGTCCCTGCCGAAACACCAGGAAGAGAACCGCTGCTAACAGCGAGCATACGTGGCCCTTGTAGATGGAGCCCTGGCACTATCCAGCACCTGCTGGATGGAGGGCTCTAAGCCGACTGGGAGCTGCCTGCCCCCTTCAATGGCCACACCGTGAGCCGAATATGATGTGGGGATGGATGCCAAATCCTCCCCTCCATCTGAGACAGGAGGTCCTGTCTCGCCGGCAACTGCCACGGCTCCCCGTTCAGCAGACTGAGAAGCAATGGAAACCAGACCCTCATGGGCCAGTCTGGCGCCACCAGAAGGACCTCGTGTAATGAGTCCCTCACCCGATGGAGGGTCGGTAAGATCAACGGGAAAGGCGGAAAGCGTACAGCTGAACCAAAGGCCAGGCATTGTCGAGGGCATCCATCCCCAGCGGGGCGTCAGCCTCTGCCAGGGAGAACCACAAGGGGCAATGCGTGCTGCTCCTTAAGGCAAACAGATCCACCTGGGCCTCTCCGAACTGATGCCACACCCTCTGCACCACCTAAGGGTGTAACCTCCATTCCCCCGGGGGAAGACCCCGCCGGGACAGGCACTCCACCACCGAGTTCTCTCACCCCGGAAGGTGCAGCGCCCTGACGGAGGCCAAGCGAGGGTAAGCCCAGGTCAACAGCGTCTGAGCCTCCCTCAACAATCGCAATGACCTGGTGCCCCCCTGATGGTTTGTGTGGAACACCGCCGAGGTGCTGTCCATTCGGACGAGCACGTGCTTGCCCCGCAAAAAGGGCAAGAAGCGCCTCAGCGCCAAGTAGATGGTCTTCAATTCCAGGACATTGATGTGAAGCCGTGCCTGACGGGGCTCCACAACCCCTGGACCGACCTGCAGTGCCAATGCGCCCCCCACCCCCGGGGTGACGCATCCGTCGTGACCAGCTCCCGTCTGGCGGGAACCGCGCTGAGCGGGAGGCCGACACTCAGGTAGGCGACATCGTCCCAACGACGCAAAAGAGCCACACAGCTGCTCGTGACCTCCAGCTCGACCCGTAGGTGTCGCCGGGGATCCAGGCGGAAGCCGTTGAACCTTTGAGTGCTCCGACCACACGGTCCCGGGCAGGAAGACGCCAAGTAGAAAAAGTACTCACCTCTAGACCGATAAGATCCGAATCACGGACCTACGGAGCGATTGACCAGCGAAGCACGCCAGGTCGACAGCGAGAAGATCAAAGTGACCCGAACGTAGCTATCGCCGCGTAATTTATAGACTCGCGACCAGGTGCGCTACGTATCACGTGCGTGACTTTGTTTACATTAGTACTCGACCTGCGCAGAGCGCGAGGAGATACATCCACTCTGTTTACTGCCACTGGCAGTCAGGAGGGAACGAAACAGAAATGACACTGTGATTCTGGTTAAAATAATCATTTGAGCACCACGAACAACCCTTGCTTGCCTCCGGTTTCAACCAGCTGCTTCACCAGTTCATAACGTGATTTTGTACAGCTGTGCTCACTTGAGGGACTTGCACTAATGTTTGTGCACGTTTTTGTTTTTTAGAAAACACTCAAATATCTCTCTTACGTTAGTGTAGTTTCCAGCTGTTATTTTGAGATTCATGCCGGGCGATTTATCAGGGCATCCATCCCCAGCGGGGCGTCAGCCTCTGCCAGGGAGAACCACAAGGGGCAATGCGTGCTGCTCCTTGAGGCAAACAGATCCACCTGGGCCTCTCCGAACTGATGCCACATCCTCTGCACCACCTGAGGGTGTAACCTCCATTCCCCCGGGGGAAGACCCCGCCGGGACAGGCACTCCACCACCGAGTTCTCTCACCCCGGAAGGTGCAGCGCCCTGACGGAGGCCAAGCGAGGGTAAGCCCAGGTCAACAGCGTCTGAGCCTCCCTCAACAATCGCAATGACCTGGTGCCCCCCTGATGGTTTATGTGGAACACCGCCGAGGTGCTGTCCATTCGGACAAGCACGTGCTTGCCCCGCAAAAAGGGCAAGAAGCGCCTCAGCGCCAAGTAGATGGTCTTCAATTCCAGGACATTGATGTGAAGCCGTGCCTGACGGGGCTCCACAACCCCTGGACCGACCTGCAGTGCCAATGCGCCCCCCACCCCCGGGGTGACACATCCGTCGTGACCAGCTCCCGTCTGGCGGGAACCGCGCCGAGCGGGACGCCGACACTCAGGTAGGCGACATCGTCCCAACGACGCAAAATAGCCACACAGCTGCTCGTGACCTCCAGCTCGACCCGTCGGTGTCGCCAGGGATCCAGGCGGAAGCCGTTGAACCTTTGAGCGCTCCGACCACACGGTCCCGGGCAGGAAGACGCCAAGTAGAAAAAGTACTCACCTCTAGACCGATAAGATCCGAATCACGGACCTACGGAGCGATTGACCAGCGAAGCACGCCAGGTCAACAGCGAGAAGATCAAAGTGACCCGAACGTAGCTATCGGCGCGTAATTTATAGACTCGCGACCAGGTGCGCTACGTATCACGTGCGTGACTTTGTTTACATTAGTACTCGACCTGCGCAGAGCGCGAGGAGATACATCCACTCTGTTTACTGCCACTGTCAGTCAGGAGGGAACGAAACAGAAATGACACTGTGATTCTGGTTAAAATAATCATTTGAGCACCAAGAACAACCCTTGCTTGCCTCCGGTTTCAACCAGCTGCTTCACCAGTTCATAAAGTGATTTTGTACAGCTGTGCTCACTTGAGGGACTTGCGCTAATGTTTGTGTACGTTTTTGTTTTTTAGAAAACACTCAAATATCTCTCTTACGTTAGTGTAGTTTCCAGCTGTTATTTTGAGATTCATGCCAGGCGATTTATC